ATAGTTACAATATAAAAATGCTGGAACAAAGATTGTTGTCACAATTGGCAGATTAGTTTATTCCAGGTGAAAAAAAAGCCTTCATGCAGGACAGGGCATGACCATGTCACACAGCTAAATCAGTTAAAAAATATCTATCAGAACAAAATATTCCATTACTTGATTGGTCAGGAAACTCTTCTGACCTAAATCCTATAGAAAATGTTTGGGCGCTCCTAAAGAAGCAAATATCTGAAAAAATTATTACAAATAAAGTGTATTTAATAGAAAGAATTATTCAACATTGGAACTATAATAATGAATTGAAGGAAATGGCTCAAAAATGCATTAAAAGTATGCCAAAAAGGGTTCCTGCAATTATAGAGGCAAAGGAGGAATCACAAAATATTGATCTTGAATATATTTGCAGTAATATTTGAATAATAAAATTTATTTAATTTGAATAATAAAATTTATTTAATAATATTTTAATAACAAAATAATAAACAATATGTTAAATGTTTTTATTTGTCAAAAAAATACCCATTTCTTAAATAAAAGTTACTTTGAGTACATAAATCACAAAAAAATACTAAAATAATAGACTTTGAAACTTGATAATTTTGAAAAATTGTGGGTGGATATAATAAATTGTCACACGACTGTATTTTATATAATTTATCATAATAATCAATAAATATATAAAATGTTCATCTTTATTTATTTGTTTTTATCAAGTACAACTTTATAAATAAAAGAAAAAACTTTAAATTTCACTATTAATATTATATATATATATATATATATATATATATATATATATATATATATATATATATATATATATATATATATATATATATATATATATATATATATATATATATATATATATATATATATATATATATATATATATATACATATATATATATATATATATATATATATATATATATATATATATATATATATATATATATACATGTGCTTATATGAATATAACATATATATATATATATGTATATATATATATATGTATATATATATATATATATATGTATATATATATATATATATATATATATATATATATATATATATATATACATATATATATATATATATATATACATATATATATATATGTTATATTCATATATATATATATATATATATATACATATATATATATATATATATATATATATATATATATATATATATATATATATATATATATATATATATATATATATATGTATATATATATATATATATATATATATATATATATATATACATATATATATATATGTTATATTCATATAAGCACATGTATGTATATATACATACATATATATGTATGTTTATTTATGTACATATATATGTATGTATATATAGAGTAAAAAAAAAGGTTAAGTATGCGTTACAAATCAACCTTTGTACTTTAAGGTTGTTCTTTAGCTCAAGGAAATACAAAAGTAAGAGAAAACAGTTACAAAAAAAATTATAATCAGACATAAAAAAAAAAGATTCATTTTATGTCTGATTAGAATTCGTCAAACTTTTAAAAATATATGCTACACAGATTTTTAACACAAGTTTAAAACAAACTATAATAAAAAGTTTCAAAAGATTTTTTATTTAAAACTACTTTTAACAAACCTTTGCATCACATGTATTTGTATTTGTCTTAATGGTTTTACCTCCAATTTTAGAAAGTTTGTTAACCTAAAGGTTTAAGAAAATAATTACACCACATTATTTTTATAGTACATTTATAAAAAGTTACAAGTAGATTAACTTACGCTAAGTTATTAATAAATACTTAATCAAAAAACAATAAAAAAAACTGCAAAAAGTCATGGTTTAAAACAACCTATCAGTTCTGACCTCACCCAAGAATCATTTAAACTGTTCTGATAAATAGTTCTGAAATCCATAAGAATTTCAGAACTATTTGTCATGATATTACTTTAATTACGAGTATTTACTAACATTTAATTAAGAGTATTTACTAACATCTCTTTCTAACAATAAAGATATATCAGAAAGACAAAAGAACCAAACATTAATTAATTTCTAAAAGTGTTGAAACACAAGAACAAAAAATTTATAAAATAAAACATTATTTATAAATTAAATAAAATGTATTAATTTAGCAACCAAAGAAATGTGTAAATCACTGAAGCATAGAAAAAAATGTTCAGAATCTTTTCTTCCTAAATCAACTTGCAGACAGACAATTAATACCTTGAGCTACAGTATGTGGAGTATGCATAAAAAATGTTTTCTGTTTCTTTTTTTGCGTTACAGGAGTAGGTATTTGCTTACTATTCTGTTGGTTATTATGTTTTCTCTTGCATAAGCATGGTAGTGGCTCCTATAATAATTAATATCAAAATATAACTAATAATACTTGAATTAAGTATCTTTTGAAATAGTTACTGTTTACTGATTCTATCTGAGTATCACTTATAGAGGCAAATTCAAATTTATTACATAATTCATGATCTAAGAATATTCATTCAATTTAAAAATGTTTTAAAAACATTATGTAATAAAGAATATATAATAAAGAATATATCTAAACACTGAAAACAACATATACAGAATGAAAGCATGTTAAAGGAACGTTGATGACTTAAGGTTTATATTAAAAAAAAAATTACATTATCTCCATGACATTAAATTTTGAGCAGCTTAAATCTGTATTAGTTAGATGCGGTTTATGCATTTCATTGAAACAATTTATTACATTTAAAGATGACGAGCAGCACAAAAAATAATCAATCGAATTTTCTCTCTTTATTTCTCTGTATTTTCTATCCAAACAGCTCGAATGAACATTTTGCATGCCCTACTATACTTTTTCAACTGGAAAAGTATAGTAGAAATTATAATAGAAAAAATACTTATATATTAAAAATTTGTTCATGTAAAATAGCTAACAGAAAAATACAACTATAAACTGTACGTTATGATACATTATACAATTGCTAAAATTTGCTAAATTTTTATGTTGATCTTTCTACTAATATTATGGACTAAAGAAGCATTCACAAATTCTTTTTTATACAACTTTACAAGAAAAATCTTTAAAAATTTAATAAAAATTTTTTAATATAAAAAATATTTAAACTCTTTAAATCACATGGATTGGTAAAAAAGCTTGATAAATCATTATTTTGTAAAACATCATCCATTATATATATTTATATTATGTATGTATATATACATATATAGTGTATGTATATATTATATATGCATATTATATATATGTATATATATATACATATATATAATATGCATATATAATATATATATATATATATATATATATATATATATATATATATATATATATATATATATATATATATATATATATATATATATATATATATATATATATATATATGTATTATAAAAATAAGAAAAACATATATAATATATATTTTATATTTATATAATATATCAAGTAGTCTCTACTTGTAATCCACACTCATGAAATAATACGGTCATAAAGAAATATCCATTTAATATTTACCTAACTATCATCACAAGTTAAGCCATGTATCATTGTTAAATTGTCAAATTCAAAACCTTATAAAAAGGCAACAGATGACCTAATTTATTAGCATGTGTGACTTTACTTGTTTTTATTGGGCTAATAAGTAACTTGTTAAGTCTTTACTTGTTATTTGTTATGTTGATAAAAAAAAATTTAAGTTACGCATGCGTATTTTAGTTATCATATTGCATTTACGAACGATCGAACTCGTAATATAGACGTTGAATTAACGTATTATCAACGTCGATTTTATTTGATAGTTTTAAACAAATTTTTCAACGTTGATACAACGTTGATTTTTGGTTATACGACGTCGCGACTAAAAATCAACTGTAAATCAACGTCGAAATAACGTCGTGTGCCCACTGGGTATGGTCAATCGCATGAGTTTTGCAAAAACAAAATTTGTATACTATTTTAAAACCTAAGTATACTAAACTATATGTTTAAGTTGAGAAAATGAGATCTAAAGGTGTGTTAAAAGATTCTATCCTATCTACCCATGATAGTTTGTTTAACAGTGTGAAGACTTCATTCTAAATTTAAACCGACGTGGAATAGATTTGTGTGGAAGTCTATACTCAACATCGCAATTTTTTAGTTAGTTTTAATGGAAAAAGAGTTTAATTTAGCATTCATTTTTAGATACTTGAACAGGAGGAAGAGTTATTCAATATTTATTGAATTATGTACCATATATACATTATTATTGTCAATATTTTTAAATATTTTTTTTATTTTAAACTTTGTTAAAACCATTAGAAATTCAGTTTAAATTTTTTTTTTGTTAAACTTAGTTTAATTTTTTTTTGTAATCTAAATTAAAGACTTTCAATTTGGAAACATAAATGCATCATTATAACTTTTTTTTAAATATTTTATTACTTGAAAATCTTTGCTTCGATTATCTAATCAAAAAAGTAAAAATAACCATATTTTTATGAAATGATTATTCAAAACTTACTGCTATTTTTACATTAAATTTGGAACATACTATAAACATAATACCAAAATTCATTTGAGAAAAAATAAATGAGAATAAAAGAATATTTTAGAAATGACGCATAAAAAACTAACAAATTATGGCAAATTAGGCGAGTCAATATAAAGATTTTTTTTTTTTTTTTTTTTTTTTTCTGCTTCATAAAAAAAAAGTAAATAAAACAGATAGAAGCTCAAAGAAGATTAGGACGACAGTACTTTATCGCAATCTTTTCATTGAGCCCCTTTAACAAAATTTTAATAAAATATTGTAATAAGTAATACCTAATAAAATTTCAATTAAATATCGTAATAAACATTGTAATAAAATGCGTAATTCGCTAATAAGATTGTTAAGCAACAAACAAAAGTAGAGTAGTAACATTAACCAAAAACGTTTATCAATTTTTAAAAATTTCTTTTTTTGTTATAAACTTGAATGAACATAACAAATTTACCGTACCTTTGAATCCTTTTTGAAAGATATTCCACACTTTAGGACCTCGATATGAAATGCTATATTCTGAATATTTATTATCCCAGGCAGTTTATATGTGTTTAACATATTTGCTCTAAGATTATAGTTTTCATTTTTATTTAATTTAAACTAGTTATTAAAGCTTATAGAAGAGATATTATAGTTGTAACGATATATGAAAATTAAATGCTGATAGACATTTATTTCAAATACATTTATCATTTTCATATCTTTTATTAAGGGTTTAGCGTGTTCACGCCTATCTTTTTAGTAAATGATTGTGTAAGCATTTTTTTGTGAACTGTACAGTTTTTTAAGTTTTGATGTTTGAGTACTTTCGATGATTAATATGATAAAATTTTAAGAATTAAAATGAATTGATCCTTCCCTCAAATGATTTAATTACTACAAAGAACAAAATGTCAATATTTCAGCTCTTTTACTTAATTATTTATAAAGTATTCGTTTTGCAAACTTTTTACAAATACATTGTTTATATATCATTTGCTATGTCGTTGTTGCGGAAACAATATTGATTTGGTAGACATAATGTTAAATTATTAAAACTTATTGTTATCATGTTAAATGAGTTTTTTTTTAATCTGTGAACAAAAGCATTAGCCAAATCATTTTTATTATTATTTTTTTTTAAATTGACTTTTATTTCTTTGGGTACAACCTTAAATGGGCTTGGGCCCCCTCAATTTTACAAGTTTGATCCTGAGCATTTTTTTTTTTTTGTTTGTTTTTGTAAGTACTCTTTTTTATTTTTATAGAACATATACTCTTAAATAACTTTTTTTTATAACATACATTTTAATTGCTTAAATGGGCTAAGAACTCCTTCAGTTTACCCTTTTTTCCCATTTATGACTTTTAGCTTTTTGTTCAGATTTAAAAAAAACTCTTTTCTATTGTTATAAGATACTAATACCCCTGAATAAAAAAGGTTTCATTTATAAGGTTTTATTGATATGATATAAAACATGTCTCTTTTTCTTTGACTATCGTTCTTTTTTTAACGTAATTTTTATAAATAATTTTATTTTTAGGTGTTGGTTTTTTGGAAATTTTTTACACAATTTTTGTTTAATTTTTAAGGATATCTTAAGATCTTTAATTCCCCATGATGGCTTAAAGTTTGAAACAAAATACGGTACACTTCATTTGCTTTAAATGAACTGTTTATAATATAAGCAACAACGTCATATAGTTATACAAACTTTATATGATTCCGATTTATTAGGGATAACTGAATCGTAAATGTGAGTTTTGTATTGGTATGAAAAAGAATTTTATTTTGTTGGTTTAATTTGTTGTCAAAATGGAAAAATAAAAATAGGAAACTATCGTTAACGTCCATTTTGTATTAGAGTTTTATTAAAAATTTAGATTTTTATAATGTTACCAGTTAAATTTAATTGCCATTTTATAAAGTAGCTGACGTTAAGATTATTCGAATTGGTTTTTATTTAGTGGGGAATCGTGCTATTATATAAAAAGTCTTACTAAAACATTTTTAACGTTGCTATTATCGTCATATTCAACGCAAATAAACAAACGTCATTGATTAAGTAACTTTTTTTTAAATAATTATTACACAAAAATGCATTTTGCATCCGAAGAAGTCAGATAGTAGGCAGCAGCTTAAAAGAATATTTTTAGTGCCATTGGTTTAAGTTCTTTGCGCGCCAGTGGGATCATATTAAAACCTGGAAATTTTGCGTCATCAAATTAACACCGCGTTACAGTTATACTAAATGTATTTGAGCTTCCTCTATTAAAAAACACAAATGTTTATTAATTTCTAATCTTAAAATAAATAACATCTAAATGATCCTACCCTGAAAATTTTTTAATATGTTTGTTATGGAATCAGAAATACTGTGTCAATGAAACTTTAAAAACTTTGAAAACTATAAAAGTTTTCTTCATAAACTTAGCGATGAAACAATAAAAAAAAATGGACGTTTTGAGTTAGGGCATGTCCAAAAAATCACGCGAGGAAATTCGTTTATGTTTTGTTTAATATTTTCATAAAAATAAAGTTGGCGATCTCCAATTTATTCTCATTTAATTCTAATCTATATAATTATTTTGTAAACAAAGCGTGGTATACATTAGTAATGCTGTCACAGAATAAAATAGGTTTGAAACGGAATTATGTGTGGATCAGAAAATCGCAAATTTCAAATATTAGATATTTAAACTTTAATTCTTTGAAAAATAAAAGTTTCAGACATTTTTCAAACTATTTCCCTATTAACATAAAAAAAAAAAGGTATATATCTATCTATCTATCCATATATATATATATATATATATATATATATATATATATATATATATATATATATATATATATATATATATATATATATATATATATATATATATATATATATATATATATATATATATATATATATATATATATATATATATATGGATATAAATCTGAACAAAAAGCTAAAAGTCATAAATGGGAAAAAAGGGTAAACTGAAGGGGTTCTTAGCCCATTTAAGCAATTAAAATGTATGTTATATCTCCAGTAGCCTAAAATATGATAAAAATATTTTTGTTATAATTGTTCTTTAAAAAAATCACAATCCCAGACAGCAAGCTTACATTGGCCCAACGTAAGTTTTAATATTAGCAAATTTATTCCGTTTGGCCAACATTTAGTATTGGCCAAACGAAATAAATGTTTTTTTTTCGGCGTAATATTTCAATTCTACAAAGTGATCGTCCATAAATTACGCAACGGAAAATATAGAAGTCGGAGATATTAAGCTCTTTTACACGGCGATTTTCATTAAGCTGAATGAGCTACTTTGATTTTGTATTTAAAATAATCTGCGATGAATCTTTTTTGTTTTGTTTATTGTAAAAGGTAGCGTTACGTAATTTATGGACGATCCCAAATCGGTTTTTTGCAAATATCGTACTATGTTGGGCCAACATTCGGCCAGTGTAGTATCGGCTTTATACTTTGCTGTTTTTACAATAATGCCGAAGCCAATATTCGGCCAATGGTAGTTGCGGATTAGTATATTTTTAAACTTGTTGCAAAACATTTTTTAAAAAAGTTATTGTTTTACAGAATTAAAAACGTTTTTGATATTGTCTTTCCATTTTTTTAAAATATAAAAATAAATAAAATAAGCTAAATTTATTAATCTTCTAAGAATCTTAATAGGTTCCTCATAAAAAATAAATTTCAAAAGATTCTCGTGACCTAATGTTTTATTTATTAAATAATGAAATATTAATTAACATTTAAATATGCTTATAACACTTTAATACAATCTAAATTATCAATGTAATAATAAAGACAATATTCAAATTAATTTTGTGTGAGATCTTAAAGTTATTATTATTTTTTATACTTATTGCTGTTTTGACATTTCAAATGTTTCATTTATTCAATAAAGATTGTTAAATGTTTCATTTATTTAATAATCTTTATAAATAAATCAAACATTTGAAATGTCATACACAGACAGCAAGCTTACATTGGCTCAACGTAAGTTTTAACATTGGCAAGTTTACTCCGTTGGGCCAACATTTAGCCAATGTTTTTTTTTCGGCGTATTATTTTCAATTCTGCAAATCGGTTTTTTGCAATTATCGTACTACGTTGGACCAACATTTGGCCAATGTAGTTTAGGCTTAATACTTTGCTTTAAAAATCTGTAATTACATTTATGTCGTAGCCAATATTCGGCCAATGTAGTTGCGGATTAGTATATATTTTAAATTTGTTGCGTTTTTAAAATGGTATTGTTTGACAGAATAAAAAAAGGTTTTGATATTATCTTTCCATTTTTTTAAATTATAAAAATAAAAAAAAGAAGGTATATTTATGAATCTTCTAAGAATCTTAAAAGGTTTCTTATAAGAAATAAATTTCAAGAGATTCTGTAATAAAATATCACATCCGCCTAAAATATCACTCACATAGAAAAAATGAAAACGAGAATGCGCTTTCGAGTCATTGCACTTAGAAGTGTATTAACTACGTCCGAAACATTCAATTATAAACAATATAATAAAAACGCAACAAGATTCAAAAAAACGGTTGCGTTTAGATCGTATCCCATTCGGAACGATTATTTTTATTTGCGTATTTTGCCGAACAACATTTTAAAAAAATTACGGAGCAATATTAATAACAACACAACACACGTGCCTTGTTTGATAGATATATTATTATTTGTTACTAAAATTACTTTATTACGTGGTCTTTATTTCTTTAACTTCATAGTTTTTACAGTGGGTTACTCTATTAATTCATGGATGTAATAGTTCTTTAAGGTTAGTGTTTCTTTCATATACATAATTCTTAATAATATAATAACAGTAGTTATATATATATATTGTATATATATAACTATTATTATTATATTATTAAGAATTATGTATATTTAATTTTTTTAAAATATATATATATATATATATATATATATATATATATATATATATATATATATATATATATATATATATATATATATATATATATATATATATATATATATATATATATATATTAGGTACGCAGAAATCCGTGTTTTACGGAACCGAATTTTGTGCTAAAATTTTGTGCCAGGTTTTTTGAACTTTTTTTTAGGTAACTTCAGGCGAACGTTTTTTTGTGGCGTTTCTGTTAGAAACATTACTAAACTTAGATTATTTTTGAAAAAAAGAATAGTTAAACTTGATTAATATATAACATTTATGTGTGGTTAGTAATTTTTGTATTGCTTTTATTTGTATTAAAAACTTGGTTGTTGTTCTCACATTATATTATTGTCAAAAAAAATGCTCAGATAGTTTGCAAACCTATCCAGATAGTTTTTTACATATATTTTTTATCTACATACCAAATTTTATTGAAAAATATTATTGAGCAGATAGCAGTCTATAAAAGTGAGCAGTTTTGGTACCTCATTTCTGTTTTTCTGATTTCCGTAAGTGGGTGGTAAGAGGGGTACGAACAAGTTGAATTTTATTAGGTTAGTTTATGTTATATGTAAAATATATATATATATATATATATATATATATATATATATATATATATATATATATATATATATATATATATATATATATACATATATATTTATTTATTATTTTTTTTAATAAAATAAACTAGTGAAAATATACAAACTAATATTAATTAATTTAAAAAAGGTAATAAATTACTGCAAAAAATAAATATTTATATATATATATATATATATATATATATATATATATATATATATATATATATATATATATATATATATATATATATATATTGTATATATAATTAATACATATATATATATATATATATATATATATATATATATATATATATATATATATATATATATATATATATATTAATACAATTAGATATAGACTGCCAATAAGATATTTTTTTCTTTTTTTTTTTTTTTCAGTAGTTTATTAGATTTTCTATATTAATTAATATTAGTTTGTATATTTTTACTAGTTTATTTTATTTTAAAAGTGAAAATTACTATTTATTTTAGTGTGACTTGTTTATAGTTTCTAAAATTGTATTGATTTATTAAAATTGAAAACATAAGCGTTGATAACTATAATTCTAGCTATAGGTATGCATGGTATTTTAAAAACAGTTTTTCTTTTTTATGTAAACATTTGCAATGTATCTTTTAAATTTTCTTTATATTATCACATGTTTTATGATGTCAGTATACATTGGCATTTTATCTGTGTGTATAAATAGTATTAATGCAGTATTATTAAAAATATTTTTAATAATAAAAGTATAACATTGTTTATAATTTAATGTTATATTATTATTCGGTAGTTATACAAGACTTTCTTTACATTTTTATTTTGTGAATAAAGTTGCTTTTTGTGCCCCGCTAATGAGCACAAAAAGCATTTTTTTTTTTTTTGTTCGTAGTACAGTTAAAGAGTATTTAGATACACACTTCTTTTTACCTCCCAAAACTTGCAGTTGTTGTAAAAATAGACATGTACCTTTTTTATTTATTAACAGTGTTAAGTCATTTGTTATAACTATTATTTAGTTTAAATATTTGTAAACCACAAATCTTTAGGGTTTTGAAAAGATGCAAAAGTTGGTTTTTCAACTTTACAAGGGATAGTAATCGTTTTAAGCAATTTTGTAATGAACCCTCTATATGCATTGCACAAATCTTGCCCGTCTTTCTATCATCATGTCCTACTCCAAGTAGTTCTCTTACTACTGTTTTAAGAAGTTTAGATAATTCACCACTTGAGCACATAAGTAATTTATCACCACTAAATCATAAGCCTTTATTTTCCAAACATTCTGTTAACAATGAATTGGCATGAATCAAGAGGAGAAATAAGCCCTAGAAAAAAAAGGTTTGAATACCAGATTGTCCTATTTAACTTCTCAGCTTGCTGTTACATTCAGCATGTATTGAAAAAAATTAGTAATAGTGACGGCAAAATTAAAAAGTATGGCATACAAGTTGAAAATACTGAGACAAAAAGCTACATAAAAGAAACAAATTGTTAAAGTTTTGAGAGCTGAACTTAAAGATCTTAAACAAAAGTTGCAAACATATTATTACAGTAAGATAATACGCACTCTTAAAGCTTAACAAATGAAAATTTCAGAACTTTTAAAGCTATAATAAGTTAAAGTTGTACATAATAAAGATATTAAGGCAAATAAAATGCTGATAGCTAGTTACGAATATTTGCTTGCATATATGTAAAGCAGTTGATCATCTAGCTTTTATTTAGATTTTCATTTAGCATCTTTTAATGAGTGATCAATCGATCATCTCAAATATGTCAAACGCAATGTCAGGCAAAGGTGCAATTAACCATCTTACCATAAGCAAACTGTGTGACATATAAGGGCAAAATTTGAATGAGCTAAACTGCCATTTACACGCTCTTGATATAATTGCTACCTCATGGCTGGGTATAATTGTATGGCATTTAAAATAGTTTTGGCTATGAACAAGTTGAGGTTTAAACATGGCAAAGGTGATTTAAAAAGATTTGTTAGTTTTTAGCTGATCAAAAACTACAACGAGGCATCATTCCAAGGTATCAAGGAAATCGTCTTCATATTTTTTTTCATACTTGTTTTATTTTTATAAAACATATAAGTTTGAGCATTTTTTAATCATTAAAACAGTAATATGCGGAACTATACAAACAGTTCTTAGAGCAGTATTTTGTAACAAAACAGCTCTAAAGCAAAAGTGTGTGCTTGCATTATTTGGAAAACCACCTTCTAAAAGTCACTAAAACTTTGTCATCCAGTTTCCAGCCTGGATGACAAAGTTTTGTGTGACTGTTGAGGAGGCAAATTTTGACCATTATAGTGGAATCCTGGTATTAAAAAATATTTCACTAAAAATTGCAGATTCTAAATCAAATCCAGGTTCACTTTTTAAAATGACCTTGAACCAAATATTTTAGATCCATTAAAAAATGTTTTGTTTGATTGATGAACACTTTATCAATATGACTTTTGCTTGTCTTATTGCAGTGGGAGACGTCATAACTCATCAATGTAAGAGGTATTTTTTACTTTCTATTAACCAGACTCTCAAGAAGGAAGTAGCATGTGCAAGGCTTCACGATATAAATACTGAAGAGTTAATGGGAATGTTTAGTGAGGCTGAAGAAAGATCCCCTAATGTAACAATTTGTTATGTTTCATACAAATTAAAATACCTAGGTAGTTTAGATCAATTATCTAGAGAAAACATAGTTACTATTTAAAAACTTTGGCATATAAAATTCGCCGAATGGTCACACACGAGCAGTGAACGTCTGAGGGAAGAAATGAAATACATTAGAAATGTATTTCTAAAGTATTTGAGGGAAGAAATTATGAGGGTTTTTTTATGTATTATGATTTATGTATTATATATTATGTATTATGAGGAATTATGTATTATGAGGGAAGAAATGAAATAAATTAGAATAAAGGAGAATTATTTATTAGACAAAGCATATTTTGGCAGTTGTCAAGACAAAAAAAAAGAATAATAGAGGAATATTTAAAAATAAATAAGACTAATAAATAAGGAATATTTAAAAATAAATAATATAGTTATGTGGTATATTTAGAAACCCATAAAAATATAGTTGTGTGGTCTATTCAGAAACGCATAAAAATATAGTTATGTGGTTTATTCAGAAACCCATAAAAATATAGTTATGTGGTCTATTCAGAAACCCATAAACATATAGTTATGTGGTCTATTCAGAAGATAAATCAAATGAAGCATAATGATATATGAGCAGATATTTCAAAAAAACATCTATGCAAATTCCAAAAAATGGATGAAAAAGACAAAAAAAAATTAAAATGACAGTTGCTTGAACTCTCTTACAATGAAATAAAGTGTTTAAATACATCGTCTATCAATCAACTTTTGACTAAGATGATGTAATGTCATGACTAAGATGATGTAATGTCAGATAGAATTGTTGGGCAAAAACTTTGCCATGAATGGTACAATAATGAGTATTCGAAATATGTCATGTATGATGGTAGAGAAGAAAAACTTGATAAAACAAAACAAGACAAAGTTTACACGATTTCTTACTGGAATAAAGGTAATACTGATACTGGAGCTGTTGACTCCAACATGAAAAAATTTCAGCTTCCGCTGATGTTGGACCAGGAGAGTTGATTTTTTTTTTTGAAGTGTAATATGTAACAAATTATGATATTACTTGTAATAAAGCTTTAAAAATAGATACTGCAAATGATGAAACTTACAAAACAGATACGGCATATGATGAAACTTGTATAAAGGTATTGCAAGTAATAAAACTTGAAGAAATAGTCATATCAAGTCAGGTATGCCTGGTATTAAACCATATGTTTTTTTTTTACTTTTTTTTATAAATGTTTTTAGAGAAGAATAAAAGTATTTGACTTGCAATGACCTTTCCACAAGTGTTGTGACTTCCAAAATATTTTGATAGGCGGCTCTGGCTTATCTTCACGTGGTGTCTATTGTTACAAATGATTATTATAGTGTTTCATTTATGAAGTTGATTATTTTAATTATTTACTAAAAGCCAAGACAACTATTTAAACTTAGGATATCTAAAATGTTTTAATACAGAACAATATAAAATTGATTGTTACATTTTTTTTTATAGGATACAACACTGATATTTTTGGTAATGAAATAAAATATATTTAATGAAATATCAAAAAATGAAATATTTTTTTTCAAAAGTAGGCTCGGTTGTGGTCTTTATCTTTAGCTTGTAGGTTATACTTGGTGCCAAAAGCCTAATTCAGGTTTTAAATTGTTAACTCATTTTAAAATAATTATAATTGATATTATAAAGATTTATTTATTTTACTTATTTTTTTTTTAGGTTGGGGGGGGGGGGGGCACACGCTCCTCCCACAAATCTATAAACACACCACCAATAAATGAAATTCTTGTAACAAAAAAAATTTCATGTTTTTTATACTGTGTACTAGTTTCACTTATTGTATTAAATATAGAAATATTTATTTATTTATAATTAGAGAATTAAAAACTTTGAAATTAGGGTGTGTTAAACCATCACCACCATATCCACCACCAACTTTAATAAACATCAATTATTGATAGTCTGGAATAAAATCATAGCAACTTTTTGTATAAAAAAAATAACCGTTTGTTGAAAAAAAACACTTTTTATTGAAAGAAATATGTTTATTTTTAGGGTAAATGTGGTGGTTCGGCACCCCCTCTAGCCCCCAGGAAACGCCCAATAGGTGGAAGATGTTATAAATTTGTAGCCCACAGTTACACCTATCTTTTGATACTAAGTTATAGGTATTTAGATAAGAATTGACAAATTTATAACAATTTAAGTGAAGAAAAATTAAATTTTGACCACAGTTTCTTCACCAAATCCATATATCAAAAATTTGCGACTAAAAACGTCATAACTTTTTGTAGAATAGTCCGATTTTAATAATTTTTTCACCTTTAAAATACTGTATTGAAGCACTTTCCAATAATATATAACAATCTAACCTTTGATCAGTTTAAAATTTTCAATCTACATACCTATATATATATATATATATATATATATATATATATATATATATATATATATATATATATATATATATATATATATATATATATATATATATATATAGATATATATATATATATGTATATATATATATATATATATATATATATATGTATATATATATATATATATATAAATATATATATATATATAAATATATATATATATATATATATATATATATATATTTATATATATATATATATATTTATATATATATATATATATATATATATATATATATATATATTATATATATATATATATATATATATTCAAAAAGTTAATGCTCTTGTTCAAGTATTCGAAGAAAGAAGAAATAGTGATGGCCCCTATTACAAATTTGCTTTAGTTTCATCACTAAAGTGATGAAACTAAAGCAAATTTGAATATCCGTTTTAATGGAGTTTCCGTTCACAATAAAAATTTCAAAAATGATTCAGCTATTGATCCAAACGCCTTTTTACATGAAACTAAAAGAGTCAATTAAGAAAATGTTGCTTGCTGATAAAGATGTTAATTTAACTCAATGGGCTCGCATCTTAGTCCAAAATCATTGGCCTGAAAACATAAACACTCAGGTGACATTTGGAGAAACTGAAATCAGAAACCTGTCATTAAGACTACAGTTAAATAAAAAAGAAATGATTCGTAGATTTTGTGAATACCTTGCAGAACAAATATATCCTGAAAATTTAGTTTATTTAGCACACGCTCTACGTACTATCCCCATTTCCTCAAGTGAATGCGAACGAAGGTTTTCACAGATGAGTCTGATCATCACACAAACAAGGGCTTCATTAATGACAAAAACAGTTTCAATGTTGTTATTCATTAAATTAGTGGGACCACTGCTAACAAGCTTCGATCCTTCAAAGTACGTTGATTCGTGGTTACTTAGCGGAAGGCATTCAGCATAAGACACAAAGAGCAAGGAAAGGAGATGAGAGGATATGTACAACGAAAATTTGAAAAAACTATGGGATTTGTTATAGAAGTTTATAGTTTTGTAAAGTTTGTATTTTACATACAGTGAAATGACCTCTCACTCTACTCACCCCCTACCCAAAAAAAAAACTATCATTATTTAAAAAAAAGCTTCATTTATTGGAAAACGGTTTCTTATATTTGTTCCCGCCTTTATGGGTATGATATGCGGGGGAGCCTACCAAAGGTTACACATATAAAATTTATTCACAAACTAAATTACTGATTTCTGCCTTATTTTTGAAATATAAAGGAAAATACATGTGAGTTCCGGCAATTTTTTTTTTTAAAAAAAGCACTTTGTATGTATTTGAAAATTTTCCATTATAAGGGAGTTTAAAGTAATGTATATCAGATGGTTTTTCAGATGACATGTTTTCTTTAGGAGAGATAAGATTGTTTAGTAAACTTTTGAAGATTTTGTCAATTAAGTTGAAGAGAGAAGAGTTTTATTGGAGAGTTTGTTTAATTTTTACAATATCTAGATGAAAACTTGCTGTTTTTTGAAGGCCCTTTTGATCAGAATTTTAATGAGTCCTAGTTCATAATTAATATTAGTGAAACTTTTAAAATTTGTTTGTAAAACTGTGTATTTTTTTTTTGTAAAATGTTGAAGTATTAAATTTATAATTTACAGAGTTAATAATTATATCAATAAAGTTCAATTTGCAATAAACCTCTTCCTCTTTACTAAATTTAGGGTAACTTAGTAAACTTAGTAAACTTAAGAACAGTCACAGTAAAGGAATAAGACTTCATTGAATGATGCATAACATGAGAATGAATTTTAGTATATGGGACAAGAGACACTATCGCTTATCATAGTATTTGTAGAAAAGAGAAAGAGAAGCAAAATTAAGAGGATGTGGCAATGGTTGAAGTTTGGCTGCAAGAACAGGTCCAACTACGTTTACGCTTTTGCACCTTGTCTAAAAGAGAAAGAGTATCATTGGGAGATCCATCTTAGATATGGCAACTATTCCATAAAAGTACAGACAAATTCAGAAGTAAGAAGGTGGCAACGACGATAAGAAGATTCATGCTAATTTATTTTGAAATGGATTTGATATATGGTTTTTGAGAATGATCAGAAGTAAGAGTTAATTCTAGGAGCAAAAGTGTAGATGATTCATCAAATATATTACTGTTCATAAATATAGGAAGATCTCGATTATTGTGATAACGATTAGCTAAAAACTGTTGAGTCTTATCTGAGTTAAAGTTCACTAGCCATTGAGAGCCTCATGCTGTAGCAGAAGTAAGATCCTAGCACTGACTAAAATCTAAAACCCATGCATTGAGTCATTAGGTTCCAGCATTCAATGTCCTAAATTGGAAACAATGTATTGCAAATTCATCTACGCCAGCCTTATAGATGAAGACGGGTGCGAAACTGGTCAACATAGAATATGTTACCTCTTTGTTTTTGCCTAGGAGGCTTTCTACTAGACAGTAGGTGGATGCATTAAATGTCTGCCCAAGGTGAGTTTTTTATCGAGACACTTTTATCTCTAGCTTTTACTCAACCAAGAGCCCCACAAGTGTTTTTTTATGTCAGAGTTGGCTTCTCCTAGCCTTTGCCTGAAAAAATTAGAAGTCATTTGTATCTTATATAGGGTAGGATACAAATATGTTGCATGGTAGGAACATGTTGCCATGTTGGCTTCATTGAGCTAGACAAGATGCGATAGTTGTTATGCTATGTGTAACATACGTTAGGAGGACCTGAGGTATAGTCAATAGGGTATACCATAAACTAGTATAGTTCTCCTTTGCTAAACTGTTTGCCAGCTTTTCTTCATTTTTAATATCTTCTTGTTTTAAAGTGACAAATGGCATATTTATATGAAGCTCTTTTTAAAGCATTAAATAAAAGCATTTTCAAAGAGATTAAAGATTTTTGTAAAGCTTGTCATTGACAGAATGCATATTTAGCAGTCTTATGAGCTTACATAATCCGGCCAGTTTTGTATATGTTGATTTTTATTACTTCATTTAAAAGTATTAAGACACTAACATTAAAATTGAGTAGGACAGACATTGCTTATATTGTACAGCCAATTAATCTGCTTAATATACTCATGTAAATTACAATGGAGATTTCTACAGTTAACTCCCTCAATCTTATTCATGTTATTTCAATATATTGAATTGGGTGAGCAATAGAGCTGGATGAGATATCAATTTTAAATAAGTCAGATAAACTGGTTGACTAAATTATAATGAAGTTAAAAACAAAACATTGAGAACTTTAAAGAACAAGGCAGCAGTCAATTCAACAAGTTTACTGATTTCTGTCTCACTAACAAAAGTAAAGAAATATTTAGAAAAAAAGCTATTAGCTATGACAAGATGTTTATCATTAAAAAAATAATCATATAATGGTAATAAAGGGTCACAATTCAATTTTTATAAACTGTTATTTCATTTATATAGTTTTATGTAGTTTTTATAAGCATGGTGTCAATCTGTGCCGGGAATCTAGTTAAGTCTCAATTTATTAGAATACTTCATTCTGTTTAGTTTAAGGGTTAAGAAACGAGATAGTGTATCCTATATAGTGGTAGAACATATAATTTCAATTTTTAGTTATCTGGCAGGATTTAAGTTCAACGAATATAACTAGGATCTATTTTTTAGTAGATTTAATTAGGATGTATCTTTAGGTCGATTAGGCCATTTTGTAATAATCAACTTATCGGGTGCCCTTACCACTTTAACGTTACCTAAAAAAGTCTGGGTTCATCCCTTTTGTTTGTAAACCAGGTAATGTGGGTTTTTAATGTACTTTTAATATACTGTTTTATAATTAGTTGCTGTTAAGTTCAATTGAAGCACAGAAGTTGCACAAAAAACAAAATAGAAATGTATCGTGGGAATAACAGCCGAGTATATTCTCCAAAATTCGCTACCAATGATAATCCACCTGAGTTGGACGCTATATTTGTTACTCGGTTTAAAAAATGTTTCTTTGTACTTGATGTTTGAGAAAAAAAAACTCTAAAAAAATTATTTTTTACAGCTTTACAATCCTGGACACTACTATGCACAATCCTGAACACTTCTATAAGTATATAAAAAAAACTCCTTTTCAATTTCAATTTAGATGTTTTGCAGTTTATGACGTATAATTCATTGTTAGATGCTATACAGACATACGAAGAAAAAATGATTACAAAGTATCGTGTCGCAAAGGAATCATAAGATTTTTCAAAAGATGGTAAGCTCAAATAAATAAAGTTTATTTCTGACCTACACTAAATCTAAAGGGTTCTTCGCGGTTCTTTGCCAGTTTTTTGAAGAACCTTAAGGTTCTTGGAGAAATTTTAAGGTTCTTTAAAGAAACTTTGGGTTCCTAATATCCTTTAATGGAACCGGGGGCTTATTCACAAAGTAATACAAAAAACCCACAAGGATCTACTAATCGCTTTACAGAAACTCTTGAAGAACCTTAATTTAGGGTTTTTCAAATCTTTTATAAACGCTGTTTTATTTTTCTAAGAGGTTGTTAACTTTTTTTATATAAGTAGACTAGTATGAATTTATAAAGAGTGATATAGTAACAATAGAAAATGATTATCATGACAGTATTTGATTTGCGCTTTAAACATTTGAGATGTTTTTATTAACGTTGTTACCATCAACAGCGATTATAAAAGTAACACGTTTTTTTTTTTGTTTTTTTTTCGAGCATTTTCCTTATTCCTATATGCTTTTATCATGCGAATTTTATTATTGCGAATGGGTTTATTTAGATAAACAAATATATCATTTGTTAAAATTTAAAAAATGACAGCTTATTTGAACTAGAGTATAGAGGAAGTTTGCTTACATTTAAAACTTAAAGAACTTAGAACATATATATATATATATATGTATATATATATATATATATACATATATATATATATATATATATATATATATATATATATATATATATATATATATATATATATATATATATATATATATATATATATATATATATATATATATATATATATATATATATATATATATATATATATATATATATTCATTCCCACAGTTTAAAAATTTTGGACTCTAATACCAAAAACAACTCCTATGAAAACCCTTTTGAGGGGTGTTAGTACATATGATAGGGATCTCATAACAAGTAATTTTGAAATCAGGGATTACCGTCCGCAAGACTTATTTGACTTTATTAGTTTTATCTTAATGAAACGCTGTGACTTTTACTGAAAAATTTTTCTGACACAAGTTTACACAACTTTTCCAAATATAACAAGTATCAAAAGGTTAAGAAAGTGTTACTTAATGATATTTGGTGTATTTTAAAACACCAGTGTGATTTTTTTAAATTCTTATCACCAAAATTATGTCAACCAAATTACGGCGATTTTTTTCCGGGAAAAGCCTGCATAAATATCATAGTTTTGAAGAAAAATTCGTAGAATGTCCATTAAAAATGCCCAATTCAGCAAAAACCTATGAGGATTGTCAAAAATCTGTGTGCATTATCTGCATGAAGAAAGGAGACCAAGTTCTGACAGACTTTTTAAAGCAAAGGATTCAGCGCCTCATCAAGAATGATCTGACCTTCAATTGTTGCACCCAAGGAAGCATCTCATGGAGGAACAATTCGACTTCAATTCAATTGAGTGGGATGCATTTTCCAATCAGAAAAGGTAAAATGTATACTTACCATAAGTATACATTTTACCTTTTCTTACTTTACTACCCACATTCTTCTTTAGAGAATGCTAATAGGTTTCGTTTTATTAGGTGGTGTTGTTGCTCAAGAGCTTTTTCCTTCCAGATTTTTAACAGGGAATATGGTTCAAATTCAACAGAATAAAGGATTGTCTAACAACGGAATGAGGAAACTTGGATCGTTCATTAATCATATCAGCCCAACAAGATTAGTTGAACCAAACTTTCAAAAAAGTTTGCTGAGTCTGGACAAAAATTGCAGGACTTTTTTTACTGTCAGCAGCTTGAAGATTTCGGATTCTGGAGAAAACAGGGATGTGGTTCATTGCAAAAGCATTAAGGATTGAAGAAGAAATTGGCTCCTCAAAGACTGCCTTTGCAAAGATAGGTATTGATGGAGGAGGGTCATTCTTAAAAGTGAGCATTGGAGTTATTGATGAGAAAGAAAACAACCTAGAGCCTCACAGTCCTGTCCAAAAATCTGCTAAACTCACGACACAAGTCTCAAAGCAAACTAGTGTGAAAAACCAATTTCTTGTGGCTGTTGCTGATGACACTCCTCAAAATTATTGGAATGTGCAAGAGGTTTTTCGACTCATCAAGCTTCAAGAACTAATCCCATCAGAAGCCCCAGTAATTTCTTGCGATATGAAACTTGCAAACATTATTTGTGGCATCCAGTCTCATTGCAGCAAGCACCCTTTATGTTGGTGTGATATTGAGTCTTTAAAGCTTCTTCTGTGTGGGAATCCCCGATCCTTTGGAGCTATAAGAGCTCAACATCAAAGCTTTGTGGGTAGTGGCGGAGATGTAAGAAGATCCAAGGAGTTCCAAAATGCTGTCCACAGTCCTTTAATCTTTGGTCCAGATCAAGCACTGATTTTGGAGTTCATCTCACCTATGGAGCTTTACCTTCTGCTAGGGGTGGTCAACCATCTGTTCAAATGCTTAGTGCAAAAATGGCCAAAGGCCACAGAATGGCCAACTTCATTGTACATCAAGATTCAGCCTTTTCATGGAGGGCACTTCAATGGCAATGACTGCATGAAGCTTCTGAGAAAAATTGACAAATTGGCTGAAATAGCTAAAAAAGAGAGCACTTCTGAGCCATCTTAATTCATTCAGACATTCAAAGACTTTCACGAAGTTCACTCTGCATGCTTTGGAAAAACTTTACATCCCAACTATGAGAAAAAAATCACCATCTTCAAAAACGGTTACATGAGTTTGGGAATCTCTGTTACTCCAAAGGTTCACACTGTTTTCCACCATGTGACATAGTTCATCAAGCTGAAAAAGAAAAGCCTTGGTCTATACAGTGAACAAGCCACTGAAGCACTGCATCCGGATTTTGGCAAGCATTGGGAGCGATACAAAAGATTGAACACCCATCCAGACTACTCCAGTCAACTCCTGAAATGTGTCATTGATTATAACAGCAAGAAAATGTAGAATAGCTTGCTATGAGGCACTGTTCATCAATTAACATGTTGCATTTTTGAGAATTTATTAGTTTATTTTTAGAATGTATTTATTTTGTAATAAATAAATGTTTTAAGATGTATTTTTATCATTTGTTACCTTTTTACTTCATAATATGGTAATTTAGGGCAGCCATATATTTTTGAAGGAATTTTGCAATTTTTCAGGTTTCGTAATTTAAAAACAAAAACTTCAATGTTGATGTCTTGCGGACGGTAATCCCGGATTTCAAAATTACTTGTTATGAGATCCCTATGATATGTACTAACACTTCTCAAAAGGGTTTTCATAGGAGTTGTTTTTGGTATTAGGGTTTAAAATTTTTAAACTGTGTTCCAATATTGAATTTTAGATAATTCTTCAAACGACTGCGACTTCAGAAGACTCACGTTTATTCGTACATCTAATTACAAGGAAAAACATTTATATATTGGACAATGGATTTAACACTAGAAAACTTTTTTTATAATTGATGACATATTTTTATAAACATAGACATATTGGATTGTAAAATAAAATTTATTTTTGTTATTTGTTTGAAAGTATTTATATAAATTGTTTAAAAATAGTTTTTTTTTTCTTTATTGCCATATGTTGAAATATATGTTAAATATTTAGGAAAGTCGTTGTTTACAATTTTATTTTCGGCCTTAAGCAACTAGCTTAAATATCTTAAATAATTATAATTAACTATTAAAAATCTATTAAATAATTATATATTGTATAATATATAATATAAAAAATGTTCAAGAAGTCAAAAAAGTATCCTTGCAACGAAGTAATTATGCAAAAACATTGAACGGTTCGATGAAGAACTATAACGTGTTCTTTAGAGAACTTTATTTTAAGGTTCTTCCGAAGAACCTTTGCAAAGGGTTCTTCAAAGGATCTTTGAAGAACCTCTACGAGTGTTCCACCAGCGTCAACGTGAAGAACCCTTGAAGGTTCTTTGAAGAACCATTCGGGTTTAGAGTGTAGATACGATATAAATGAAATGATTATTAGATTAGTAGCCGTGGTGCAGTGGTTAAAGCAACCAAAGGTTGCGGGTTTGAACCCGCTCGAAGCATTTAAACGTTTTCGGTGAAGTTGGAAACGGAGAGTCGTTTTTTATTTATTTTAAAATATTTGCTAATTTGAAATCTTTAAATTTTGCGAAGCGCTTTTAAATCTATTGTTAGTTTACCTGTTAAAAAAAAGAATTAAATTTACACAAGTAAAAATTTACGCAGAACTTCTTTTTTTAAACTCTTTACAATAAATTTGTTTTGTTGTTAATTTAAAACTTAAAATATTATCACTGCTTTTACATCGTAAAACGTAATGGCCAGGAATAAGTTCGCAATGGCTATGATTTGGTATTTTTTACGCCTTGTAACATTTGTGCTAAAACTTTTTAATTTATTAACAAAAATTTCCTAACTTATCATAAAATGACAAGTTTGGAAATTTTTGATGATCTCGAGAGGTTTTTTAAAAGTATAGGAATATTTTTAAGAGTCTTAGCCAATCGTGGTAACATATGACGCAGTTTAAAATTAAGTGGCCTAGATTTGGTGGTTTTACCCTAAAAAAGTTTATTTAAAATTAGAGACCGTTGTTTTAAGTGCATTTTTAGTACTTAAATCATTTTTAAAAATTGCACTTTGTTAGTTTTGTTTATTGTAATTCAATATTTTTATTAAATAGCACCGTTATTTAAGTGTAAAATAAATTTAATAAGGCTTCAATGTCATTGAGAAAACTAAATCGTCGAGGATAGTATAAAACCGCGTAACTAGCATTGGATAATACGGCGTTTCCACAGTACGTTTTTTTTACTGGAGAAGTTTAAAACTTTATATATTTTTTATTTTAACTGGTTTTGGGTTCATTTTAGTATAAAGGGTATTATTCATGTTTTTTGTCATCTTAACAATAAATATTTGGTGTTAAAATTAATAATATCCAAATATCCAAGTAAGTTACGCGGATTTGCACTACCCCCTACGAAATATTTACTATTGTTTTTATCTAACTTGCTTTTTAATCTTTTATCTACCTTGCTATAAAAATACGCAAACAAAAATAATCGTTCCGAATGGGATACGATCTAAACACAACCTTATAAGAATTATTCTACTGTTCAGCCTTTAATATCTCCATCTCAGTGCTTAGAAACTAGGTACTGACAATAGTATTGAAAGTTTTGATGATAAACAAATTGATAACTATTTTGTTTTGATTACTTTTATCATATTAAAAGTTTGATTTCAAAAACAATTTTTTAGTGTTGTTATTCTTATCTTTTAATTGAAGATAAATTACTGAATTTATAAGATAAGTCACTGAATGGGTTTTTCTCATTTACTCAATATGAACTGCTCAGCTTGTGGCTGGTCAACGTGTACTTACACTTCACCAAGAGTTTTATCAAAAACTAAACCAGAAAAAAGAAAAAAAAAACTTTTGAAGTAAACATGCGTGCAGTTATTGGTTTTCGAGAAGTTGGTTGTGGATTTAGTTCTATGAAATCATTTTCTCGATGCATGAACTTAAATTGTTTGACACTGAATGGGTTTCAAATAGTTAGCCAAGATGTTATGACAGCTTAAAAAGAAGTTGCAAATAATAGTATGAAAAAAGCTGCTACTGAGCTTCAAAATGGTGATGATACTAATGAACCATCAAAAATACGTATTTCAATTGATGGTTCTTGGCAAAAACCTGGGCACATGTCAATGAATGGAGTAGTTACTGCATTATCTGGTGGAAAGTGTATTGATGTAGAAGTTCTCTCAAAATACTGCAAAGGGTGTGAAATGTGGGAAAACATTCACCAAAGTTTGATTCTTGGAGAATTGAACATGATTGTTCCATTAACCATTATAAATCTTCTGGAGCAATGAAATCTATTGGTGCAGTGAATATTTATAAGCGATCTGTTCAAAAGAATAATTTAATTTATACGGAATATTTTGGTGATGGAGATACATCATCTTTTAACGATGTTTTATTTGCTGATCCTTATCATGAGCTTAAAGTGATACCAAAAAAACTGGAATATGTTGGTCACGTCCAAAAAAGATTGGGTACACGATTACGTAATTTGGTTAAAAAATACAAAGGAACAAAAACACCAATTTCTGGTAAAGGAAAGTTGACAGAGAAACTTATAAAATCAATGCAAAACTTTTATGGCAATAAAGGAAATTTATACCAAATAAAAAAAGCAGTTTATGCTATACTCTTTCATTTTACCAGCTTTCCTGATAATGATTATCGACACCAATCTTGGCCTAAAAATACAACTAAAACATGGTGTAAGTACTAGAATAATAGCAAGAAAAATATAAAATCATCTATGTCAATTCCACCATGGATAAAGACTTTAATTCTTCCTATTATTCAAGAACTACAAGCTGATGATTTACTCAAAAAATGCCTGCATGGTGAAACTCAGAATGGTAATGAAGTATTAAACTCTTTGATATGGTCTCGTGTACCCAAAAACAACTTTGTAGGGAAAAATGTTCTTGAAATGGGTGTCCATTCAGCAGTGATCCACTACAATGATGGTGCAAATGGTGTCTTAAATGTTCTAAAGTATTATGGCTTAATCGGTTCAGTTACTTGTCAAAAATCAATTTTAGCAAATATTGCTTGTGTTAAACGAATGAATTTAAAATTGAATAATGAAGGAAAAAGTAGGAGAAAATCTTTAAGATCAATTAAAATGGTTTCTCGTGATGCTAAACAGGATAAGAAAAAAGAATTTTATGTAGCTGGTGGTTTTTAGAAGTTTTAACACTTCAAAATAATCAATTCTTTTTTATTTCTTGTTTTTTTTGCATATATGTTTTTTTAGGGTTTTTTAAAATTCAAAACATGATAACTTTAGTAAAGTTTATGTTTATGAGCTGAAATTTTCAGGAAATGTTTATTTAATATTGATGCTCCGGTTGACCCATGGGTTTTTCTTAGATTTGGTTAAATAAAAAGTTATTGCTATAAATCTATAGAGGAAGTCAAAAAATATCAATTTTTTTAGTAAATTCGTGATAAAAAGCATAGTTTTAAAAAAATTTAAAAACGCATGGGTTAAACGGTGTAAAATAAGTTGTTTTATAACTGTAACAATCCATTATCTATTCACTAATCAAGATATTATGTTTTGAAATACAGTCTTTGTTTTTGTTTGTTTTTTTCCGCCATTATGGATTTTTAATAAATTTTAAAATTTATCTTTTTAAATAAAAATAATTATAAAATTTTAATAAAACAAGTTTTCATCAAAAAGATACATTTTATATAATACTTCACAGTTTCATTTTTTCCCTGGTGTACCACCTTAAAAGATATGTTAATTTATTAATTTTTTTTAAGAGTGTTTTAGTATTGTTATCAAAATATCATTTGGGTAAGATATGGGATAGACCACCTTTTTTTTTTGAAAACGCATCACTAAGATCACCTCTTTCGAATTTCTAAAACAAACAAGAAAATCTAAAGAACTATTAAAAGCAAATTTTTTATTCATTAAAACATCATAAACAATTTAATGCTCTCTCATCCTCCCCCTAAAAAGTGCCGAATCTACACTGCAGATAGGATCTATGCCAGTAATAACTATAAAACAAATATCAAACAAACTTTCAATTGTCTAAAAAGATTATTTTTATTTAAAAATTTGTCAGATCAAAAAATTATTTTAGGAAACCCCATTTAAAATTTATTTTTAAATAAGAGAATACCTGTTCTTAAGGTTCTAGAATGAAAAATATATTTGCAGTACCCTAGAGGCGTACAAATATTTTAGAAAAACCATGAGAGTTATTATTGTAGCTTGATCTGATTTTAGATTATGTTTATTTTTTTAATCTAAACATAGCAGCCCTCAGTTACCCTTAAATTATTTCTTATATTAAAAATATATTTTCATAAACATAAAGAATTAGCCCGTACCCCGTTTATTTTCTTTCTAGTGAGATAATTTTAAATAAAGGAATATTAAAATTATTGTCGAAATCGTTTAATGTAACCCATGTTTCACAGTGATAACATGACTTTATGTGTTTGCTTTGACGTACATTTTATAATCCGCTCGAATAAAGATTGTTAAATTTTTATACAAATTGTTGATATTTGTAAACATTTAGATTTTTAGTAAAATGGTAATATTATTTTTTTTTTTTTTTCCTTGGAGAGTCTTTAACGATGGCGGACGTGTTTTTATAACGGAAAGATAAAGGAAAAAAAAAGAAATATAAACAAAAATTTTAATAACTTAACAACAAATCTAATCAATAAACAAAGTAAGATATTTTAAAAAGAAAGAAATAAAAATTTACGAAAAAAGAAATAATTATAATTAAGAACATTTTAATTAAAAAACGTCGAAAAAAATCTAAATAAAAAGAAGGAGAGAGTTTATTTCATACAAACTTTAAAAAGAATAGACAAAAAAAATTCAAATTTTTAATCACCTAAATTAAAATAAAAAAGA